GCGTGGGTTATTTGGCTAAGCGCCTCGTTTTGGCGCGCGTTAACGCCAGACTGGGCCGTTCTTAGTAGGGAATAAGGGAATTACAATCCTTGTATAGCCCCTAAAGAATATAATCGGGATTTGGGGTTTATATAGGGTTTAGGAAGATACTCCCATATTCCGTCTTAAGAACCAGTCAGAGAGCCCGAGCTTCAATTTGCAGGTATGTTCGTTGGATAGACCTTGGAGGCTTTTAGCAGCTGCAGTCTGAATAGTTCCAATGTGGATTAGGGTTTAGGGTGGTTGCTGTTAAGGCACACTAATTAAGCTACCATAGTGGGTATATGTAGTAATTAATTAATGCGGCCCCTTCAAGATCAGTATAGTAACTGAATTTACGTTCATTACCAGCGACCCAGCAACAGTAGCTACCGGCTACAAAAGGGAATTCCCATGCTTGGAATATGGCATTCCTATGGAGTTCAAGAGAAGCCACATGCGCCTGAGCTTTCGCTAAGCGATATTTAGGAGGACCATCACACAGTGAAGCTCACGGAAAGTCAAAGTCACCCTCACTTACAATCGGTTCCTTTTTTTTTTTGCCCCCGCTGCCATGCGCAATGCGAATATTAGGTGTCCTGCGAGCTCGGCAACCCCATAGACCCGACAATGAAGGTCCAAAATAAACCAAGGCAAATGTATGTGCACCGAACTGAGACTGGCAGCGTAGCGTTATAGTTGCCCGGTAAGTAGATAGAATATGGGGTATATGGGGATCTTATTATAATATACCCAAAGCCATATTCTATCTATCTAAGGAGGATTACAAGTGTTACAGCCTGCCTGCCAAGCAGCAGCCCTGCAGTCGCATACGAAGTTTGCAAAGGCTACAAAATACCCGATTAGTATATAGGAGGTTATATGGGGATAATCGAAAAGAAAATGGAAATTACTATAATAGGGTTATAAAGGGGTATATCATAGGGAGTTAGAAGCCTCAAGTCCGAGGCATCTCTGATCCCACGCCTGCCTAGAAGGTATAAGAATCAGCTGTAGACTCTCTGAAAGCATTCACCAATTGAGTTGCATGGTGCATTCCAAGGATGCCTCCGCGCCACTGGGCTGAATCCTTGCCTTGAAATGCTGTCAGTCGATGCTAGGGGCGACAATCTTGACTTTCAACAGCATGGGGCTTGAGCGCTTGCATATGACACTATTGTACGGTGCGGGCCGAAAAGTTCCTGTCCTCCGAAGACGCTTTTGGTGAGCGATCACATACTGTAGGTGGCAACGGCTGCGCCTCCTGGTGCTGCCGCTGCCGCCGCTGCCACTGCGGCTACTGCCTCTGCTCCCGCTATTCCTCCCCCCACCACCACCACCGCCGCTGCCCCCACCATCGCCGCCGGCCACCGCCCCACCACTACCACCACCTACCCCGCATACCACCACTACCACCACCCCTACCACGATTACCGCCGCCACCGCCGTCCCCTACCACTATTACCACCGCCACCGCGCCGCCGCCGCGTCCCCCACCGGCACCGGCACCCCCGCCGCCGCCACCACTATCTTAGGACCCCGACGGCGACTACTGTTAATCTTACGACAAAACTGCAACTACAGCTGTCTAGACCCCTCCTCCGCCTCCTGCGCCCTCCTCCCCACTTCCTCCTCCTCTCCTCCTGCTCTTGCTCCTCCTACTGTTGCCGCTTCTACAGGGAACTCTTCAACAGCCACCGCTACTGCTAAAGGTCGATGTACCGCTTCAATGGCACAGACGGCCGCCTTCGAAGAACCTGTGAGACTGCAGTGATGATCATGGAAGCTTTGCAGGGCCACTTAGCTTCAAGATGGCTTGAAAGATTTTTAAGGAGTATGCAGTGAGAAAAACAGGAGTGTTGACAATTCTTTGAAGATAGTAGGCCTTCAACCAAAATGCGTCTCAAGGTTTTCAGGAGAAGGTGAATGGTGGCAAACCTCAATCTCACCCCCTTTCTACATTTTCATACTCCATTCGTTGTTCATTTGATTGTTCATTATTTGCCTGACCCGCTGTTCTCGGCCTTAGTTATACAGGGACAGATAGGGGAAGCCCCAAAAGGTTAAAAATAACAATGACACGAAGACGGGTTGTTCAGGAGTTATGTTGGGGCAGGCATGTTGTTCTGTTTTTTGGTGAGTTCCTATAGGCTGCTTTGAGAATTGTGATGAGCGTATATATTTGGTGTCCACATTCGGGGGAACTTGTGTGGAAATCCTACCAGAATGTGGAAGGTCTGGAGTCTCGCTTCGACTATTCCCTGTGCTGCCATGACGGAGACAGCCCGCTTCAGGAGCTGTTCAACGCAGAAACAGGGCTTCACAGAATTAAATCTGATAGGAGCGATCCTTCACCTCAGAGGGAAGCACAGCAACACTATGATGCTTTTTTTCGGCGTAGCCGGGAAGGCCCAAACCTCTTCTCCAGAAATTGAGACTGCAGAGGAATACGAGGATCTCCATCGTTTTCCTTAGGCCTGAAGTTGGGGCTTATCTAAGGTTGAAACCATGGGATCCTCATGTACCTACTACATAACCTATATGTACCCTCAAGGGTCCCTAGAGCTCCCCCTAAAAGGCCTAAGGGCCCATATTACGGGCCCTTGCTTCTTACCTTAGAGCTTAGATGGAAAGTGGCAGGCTCCTGGGTTTGCTTAGCCCAGGGGCCTGCCTTCAAGCGACTTTGACCTTCAACCCGCAAGTCCTCATAGCTTCCATACTAGCAGTTACTAGCATTATCATTGTATTCAGATTATTACTATTATTAGGATTATCACTAATACTATTACTACCACTATTCCCCACATTCACTGTTGGGTTCTAGTTGTTTGATGTGCTGTCGCCCGCCGTCCCTGCGTGCTCCTCCGTCATGCAAACATTTGGGACGCGCCCTTGTTCGCTTCAAGATCGCGCTCTCCGCTCGAGACATCCTCACAAAATCGTCGTTCTATGTTGATTTTCGATCAATAAAATAGCTGACTTTGCCTTTAAAGTAGTCTAGCTGGAGTCTAGCTAGAGGGGTCCGTCCCCGAACCGGTCGCGCCCCTGATTGTTGAAAATTGCGCTCCCGTGGGGGACATCCTCAAAAATTCGCGTTTTGCTGACTTCATGAACATTCAAAAATTGCGCTCCCGCGCGAGACGGTTCTAGGTTTTTGACGTTTGGATCCTCTTTATATATACTCACAAATCGCGCTCCCGTGCGGAGCATCCTCGAAATTTCGTCCATTTATCTTCATCAAATTCGATCACATGACGCTCCCCTGCGGAGCATTCGGAAAAATTGGATCATTTATGAACGATGATGTCGAGGAGTCCTATATTAATTCTACATCAAATGAGTCCCGGTGTACTTCGTTGGAGGTGGTTTTCAGGGCGGTACGGAGCGGAGGTTTCCGGTATAGCTTTGGTATAGGATTCGTCCGCATCATCGTTCAACATCTGAGCGGCTCCCCGCTGAAGCTCGTCTTCTTCGTCCAAATTTTGAAGAATGTTGCGCTCCCGTGCGGAGCATCCTGAAAATGTTGAAGAAAATTGCGCTCCCGTGCAGGGCATTCTGAAAATTTGGAAGAAAATTGCGCTCCCGTGCGGAGCATCTCCAAAATTTCGTCGTTTCTTCATAAAAAATCGCGCTCCTGTGCGGAGCATCCAGACAACTTTGAAGAAAATTGCGCTCCCGTGCGGAGCATTCTGAGAATTCGTTCCGGTGCGGAGCATCCTGATGTTTTTTGAAGAAAATTGCGCTCCCGTGCGGAGCATTTTCAAAATTTCGTCGTTTCTTCGTCAGAAATCGCGCTCCCGTGCGCAGTATCCACACGAATCGGTCGATACGAAAATTGCTCCTGAGCAAGCATGGTGCTTGCAGCAGCCGCCCTGTTAGCTCCGGAGCAGTTTGGAGAAAATTGCGCTGGCGTGCGGAGACAACCACCGTCACCACCGTCACCACCGTCACCACCGTCACCACCGTCACCACCGTCACCACCACCACCACCACCACCACCACCACCACCACCACCACCACCACCATCACCGCCATCACCACCATCACCACCATCCCCACCATACCCACCATCACCGCCACAAAAATCGCCACCAACACCATCACCACCACCATTACCGCCATCACCACCCTCACCACCACCATTACTGCCATCACCACCGCCATCACCACCACCACTGCCACCACCATCATCACCATCGCCACCACCACCAACATCTCCATCACCGCCACCATCACCGCCATGACCGGAGCCATCACCAACGCCATCACCACCACCACC